TGCCCTGCCTCTGAGCCACCAGTTACACCCTGCAATCCTGAGCTTTGCAGCCAGAATTTTAAGTCATCACTGCCGGAGGTCACAAAATTAACCTCTGTTGACAGAACCAAATAGAAATATGGTGTAATAAATAGGTAAGTCTCCGCCCTGAAACTGGGTGTGTGTGGTGTTAACAGCCGGGTTTAGCTAAATCCGGCGAGACAAAGGCCAGGGACTGTACGCTTCACGAATCTGGAAGGCTGCCTGAGGCTTGGGGCTGGGCTTCTAGCAGGGAGGAAACTGCCCTTCCCCAGAACAGTCTAGGAAATAGAATCAGCCTATGTATCCAAACCTAGGAACTTCCTTGACTAGGGTTAAGTACCAGCAAGCAAGAAAGGGGATTCAGAAGAAATGTTTTCTTTCCTCCAAACAGCAATTGTTACTAAAAGAAGCAAATGTTACATTTATTCACAAAGTTATTCACCTGTTTCTGCAGACTCAGCAAGGAATTCGAGCCGTCCCTGCTGTTGGGTAAAATTAATGAGGCGTGGAATTTGACACCCACTCAATAATGTAGGCAAATAAAGTCCCATGGCCTAAGACAGGAACATTCACTGAGTTGTTCACTCCACAGTTGCCTGGGCTATTCCGAGTCAGTCTGGGAGACAAACCCTGTTGTCTGAACTCAAAACCATCAACCTCAAGGGGCCTTGTTTTTTCTTCCATTCCCCCCTTTCTTGGGTTTTTGTTTTGGTTTTGGTTTTGGTTTTTGCGTGTGTGTGTGTGTGTGTGTGTGTGTGTGTGTGTGTGTGTTTTGTTGGGCTTTTTCTCCCCACCTCAGCTTTTTCTAAGGGGGAAGGGGATCACATATATAACCTTGCTATGTTAGTGGATTGCCTTGAATTTCTGCTGCTTCTCCTCCTCCAGAGGAATTATAGACTGTGTTTATACAGATATACACCAGCATATTCAACTTTTTATGTTGTGCTGGGGTTTGGGCTCAGGACACTCTTCCAACTAAGTTATATGCCCTCAGCCGCTTCAAGGAACCTTTGGTTGGTGTCAGGCAAATGTCTGTCAACATACAGAATAATATCTCTAATCTGCTTGCTCTCTCACCCTCCCTTCATCTCAGGCCTGGATGGTCTCCTACACTTCCTGGTTCCCAGGCCATAACCTGGATGTCCTTCTCACTCTGTAATAAAAAAGCATTCCACCTCTATCCTTGTGGGTGTATTCTCCACACTTAGTTTAGGGACAGTCTGTCCACCTGAGCTTCCAAATCCAGGCTGGACAGACAAATACTTAACTCACCCTCCCTTATAAGGCAAATAGAACAGAGACCTTTCTTCTCAAAGTTGCCAGCCAAGTCTTGTGATGAGAATACTACTGTGTTAAAAGCTAATCTCACTATGGAGCTGGGAATAGAGCACAAGACCAGCAGTATGTCTCCGAGGTCCACATAGAAGTAGTAAAAGATATTGTAAATATAGATAATGGGTAAAGGGACATCATTAATAAGTGATGCATCAGGCTGGGCGGTGGTGGTGCACACCTTTAATCCCAGCACTTGGGAGGCAGAGGCAGGTGGCTCTCTGTGAGTTCAAGGCCAATTTGGTCTATTGAATGAGTTCCAGGAAAGCCAGGGTTACACAGAGAAACCCTGTCTCAAAAATAAACTGTATGTGTGTGTATTTATACATACATATAATTTCTTAGTTATAACTGTGTAATACTTGATATTTAGTAATGGCTATGTTTGTAGCCAGCCCCAGCATATCCTGAGGGCATCGCTCTAGTAATGGCCCTCCTCTTTACTATATCATCAGCATCCATACCTACAGGATAATTACAGGCAGCACACAAGAACATGTGATTTCTTCCACCCTAAAACAAAACAAAAAAGCACCATTAACTCCCTGCATCCCACCAGAAAGCTCCTCTCCAATTTTATTCCTCAGGAAAGAGGTTTGTAATGTCCTGAACCATTCTCATTGCTTTGTCCCCCACCATTCCACTCAAACTACATTTGTCAAATTCCCAGTGACAAAATTGCTAAATTCTATAATTAAGTCTTTGTGGTCTATGTTAAAACTCAAAACAATCCTTTGTATTCCAGTTGAACATCTTGTGTAATAAGAATATGATTATTTTTTTCTTAATTTTTCACTACATATGTTCATTATGCATAGTATTGTATTACATAAGGCCATTTTCATACAAGCATGTATCATACATTGAGCAGACCCTCCAAACCCCCTGACCTCTCCATTTTCCCCCTCACCCTCTTTTATTAGGCCCCTTTATTCTCCTAGCCTATTTCATTTCTACTTTCTTGTTTGTTTGTTTTCAAGGCAAGGTTTCTCTGGATAGCCTTGGCTGTCCTGGAACTCGATTTGCAGACTAGGCTGGTCTGTGGTGATACATTATTTATGATTTATTAAAGCTTGCCTGAGGATTCAGAAAGCAAAGTCAGCCTCAAGCTATAGAGATCAGGCAGTGGTGGTACACAACTTTAATCACAGGACTCAAGATTAAGAGGTAGACAGGATCTCTGTTACCTCAAGGCTACCATGGCCTACACAAGAGTGAAGAATAATAGAGCTCATGCTTTTGATCCCAGAAACTGGGATTATACACCTTTAATCCCAGCATTAGAGAGCATAAGACAGGAGCAAGGTCTCAGAGCTGGCATTC